CAAAACTCAATCACGAGGACATAAACATTGCAATGAGACATCAGTCAATACTGTACGACATACCTACGATGAGCAACAGGCCTCCAAAGTTGACTGTGCAGGCAGCCGAAAAGCAGATACGCCTTTGATGACCGTCCCTTCCCAGATCCGCCAGTGTTCGCCGGGCCGGCGCAGATCCGCCAGTGTTGCGCGCCTCTCCGCAGATACGCCACTTCTGCAGGCATACGTCGTCATGTGAGAAAAGGTGAGAGTGTTGCTTGTTTCTGTGGGAAGAAAGTTGAAGTTAGTTCCACTCTGAGGTCTCATTTCAGAAGGAGACACTCTCAACCATTTGAGTCCTTCGCAGTGTTGTCCTTAGTCAAGCCCCGCGTTGGCTCAGTCTAGTCCCGGTCTCAAGCTGACTACACGACTGTACCGAGTTCTCCAATAAATCTCTTGGTTCTCAGCATTACATCGTTTACTTCTTTCAGTCCAGAACCTTACAATATATCGCGAAGCCTGTTACGCGAGACGTGGTCTAGCGTACATCTACCTTGTTTACGTTGTTATCGCCAAGAAATGCCCAATAGCGCCAAAACGGTACAAGATAGAGCAAAACGGACGAAATTTTCTTCCGTAGACCCCTACTTTCACGAGCAGTGTTGTGCAGTATCTAGATAAAAGTATCTAGATACTGTATCTAGATACTTGTTGGTATCTTTTACTGGTATCTCACTTTTTAAAAAGTCAATTTTGGAGCTAGGATGCTCATCTTCGAACTCGACCTATCTTTTTATGATACAAAACGACCCTGCAATAGGGTATTTCAATGGAGCGCTGCCTGGAACTAAGAAGAACAAAACCGGATACAGAGAGCGGTGGTGGGGGCGGGGAGGCTCCCCTCCACCCGCCGCTCCTCCGCGCGCCCGCCCCCAACCCCCGCTTTCTGTATCCGGTTTTGTAGTTCTTAGTTCCGGGCAGCGCTCCGTTGAAATACCCTATTCCCAGATCGCTCTCTCAATAGGGTATTTCGGGTAAGCGCAGCAGCGGAAACGGAACGGCCGAGCGGCTGCTGGATCCGTCTCAGCCTGCGAACTGCGCATGCGCAGTAGACTCTGCCAAGCCCCGCCGCCTTCCCATCTCTCCCCCCCCGCGCATCAGCAGCAGAGATGTAACCAGCAGTGAACTGGCCAGTTCCGTTTCCGCCGCTCCGCTTACCCGAAATACTCTATTCTTTCTCGGGTCGTCGTGCGGACAAACAGACAGACAGACAAGCAAACAGAATGAAACTTTTCCGGTCAGTGGAGTTATGGGCTTCGCTAACCGCTCAGCCAATAAATTTGCGACCTGTGTTTTTTGATTTTTAAACTAGCCATGTACGCCAGACCACGTCTCGCGTAACAGGCTTCGCGATACCTCACGAAACGCTGTTACGCTGCGACGCGCCTGGCGCACAAATAGCTAGGCCTGCGGCGCTGACTCCCGACACGAGTTAAGGAGAGGGTTAAGGGAAGCAGAGCCCACCGGGCCCAAAATTTGACATACTCGAACCATTTGTAGGGGTCTAATTACTCTAAAATTAGGGACATGAAACTTCTGCTGTTCGGTAACGGTTTTCATTAAAAGTTCGAATTTTGACAGATTGTTATGTAAAAATAAACGTTCTAGTGATACTAAATAATCTAGGGACCCTTAAGCCCAAAAGAGGGTGTTGTTCGACCCGTAATGTGTGGTTTAAGTATTACTCCCTGTACAATAGACAGTTCCCGCTGTGCCAGCCTTTTTTACGATTTAATAGACCATTTTGTCTTGGCACCAAAACGGTACAAGATCTAGCAAAACGGACGAAATTTTCGCCCAAAGGGTTCTACTTTCACACAGTTATCTCTTGGGAACCCATAAAAAAAATACATTTTGCAACCTTTGGTTTTTGATTTTTTTTAAAGTCAATTTTTGAGCTAGAATGGTCATCTTCGAACTCGATGTGTCTTTTTGTGATAATACAACAAATCGACTCTGAAATTCCCAGATCGCTCTCTCAATAGGCGGTTCCGGCAGTGCCCGTTTAAAGAAGAATAGGGTACTCCGGGGCTCGACTAGACCGGAAGGAGAAGAACAAAAATCGTCGGCCCGACGATTTTTGTTCTTCTCCTTCCGGTCTAGCCGAGCCCCGGAGTACCCTATTAATGAAATCACCACCGGAAACAGTTCTAAAATACAGGCTAACATCAGTGAAAACTAAAATTGACAGTTACTAGGGATTTAATAGAGGTCATTCACGTCGAACTGCAGTCAGGCTCGGACTGGGGGGTTGGGGGCCTCCCGGGGAACATCATGCAAGGGGCCTCAAAACTGAAGTCAACCCCCCCCCCCCCCAAAAAAAAAGAAAGGATGTTTTTAGTCAAAATGTTTATTGATTAATCTTAAAAATTAAAATACAATGGAATAGGAATAGTATTGCAAGGGAATACAAACTACAAGTACAACATACAAACACAAAACGACACTTGAAACCTATACACACGGAGTTCGTGGAGGCTCCGTATAAACACGCAGTTCCCGGGGACTCGGTACAAACACGGAGTTCAGCAGGCCGCCGTATAGCGTCGTAACTATGTTTTTTGAAAATTTCGAGTTATGAAGTGCGTCGGATAGAGGAAACCAAGGGCTATCGATCAGCGAAAACCGCATTTCGATATGTCAATTAGTTCAAAAGTAATTCTGGTCTGAAAATCCAGCCGCCCATAAGGCGCAATGTAAATCCAAAACTTTGAAGCGCTTTATCTCAGAAGTGACTTTCAAGCACTTACGACGTTATACGGGGACCCACTGAACTGCGTGTCTGTACGGAGCTGCCTGGAACTACGGGTTTATACGGAGACTCCACGAACTCCGTGCTTGTAGGTTTTAAGTGTCGAAAATACAATTATTACTTTAAAAGTCTCCTGAATTCGTCGGACGTCTCTGCTAAAGCATCAATGACAGCGTTTTTGTTAGTCTTAAGAGCTTCCGAGGTTTCGACATTCATTAGCACTAGGGGCTCAAACAGATCTTGGGAAAGTAGACTGCGCAAGCGCGTTTTAATAAATTTGACCTTCGAAAAGACTCTCTCACATGAAACTTGTGTAGTAGGTATTGTTAGTACAAATTTGTAACAAACAAAGAGATTGGGGTATGCAGTTTGTAACATAGGAATTGTGTAGAACAATTTTAGCACACAAGAAAGGCATTTATTACAGGCCTTACACTTAACTACGTAGTTCTCGTCGGTTTGGTCATCACCGTCACAGTTTTCATCGTCATTGTTGTTAAAAGTAGACTCAATATCAGGAGAATCTGGTCTGCTAGTGAAAACAGATGACTCTAATATATGTTCAAATGATTTAGAAAATGATAACATTTCAGTTGTAGCAGCAGCACTATCCACATTTGCCAGATGGGGGACAGTGGATAACAAAAAATCTGTTGGCAACTGGGGGAATCACTTAGGATCTAACATGGCACACTCTTTCAAAAGGTCCTCGTTAGGGTTGAAACGCTCTCTCAATCCACTTATCACACGGTCAAGCACAACATAGAAGGTACCTACTCTGTAAGCATCTCGAGAGGTCTGTACATGAGCATGTCTAGTTTTTCTTAGGTCCTGGAAGTCAGTTTCTAGTTTAATATCTTTTATTTCTAAAGCGTCTAGCTCCTTATTGATGTCTAAAGCATATTGTTTAACCCGCGAGACAAGAGAATCAAATTCATCCCGTTTTTTCTCAATAGCATCCTGTAAAGCTTCAACCATTTTAAAGGTTGTAAGGTAATCAAGTTTAGGGCTTTGGAGGGCCTCGGAGACAGGTGTGGTCTTAACAAATACATCACTCATAAGGAAAGCAGTTAAAAGTGTCTCAAACTTACACCAACCGGTGATTATTGAGCCAGCAGCGAAATTGGTCTTACTGTCAAATAAACTACTGTCTCGAATGTCTGCCATACAGGAAAGAAATTGGACCAAATTACAATTCTCACTAACACTAAACTTCTCGTCTATTACAGAGCGCAAGGACACGTGTTTACTCCACCAGCGTGTTGCGCCTATTTTTTGTAGACGTCTTAATTTACGATGTGCACTGTTTGAGGCCTTAGCAATACTACTCCAAACCTCCATTCTCTTGTATGACTGGGAGATAAATACAGCAGCAGTCTCAAGTAAACCAAAGAGTTTATTGCAATCATTGCAGTCTTTGCATGTATCTGAAAGGACTAAATTAAGGCAATGGGCAGCACAGTGTGTAAATTGTAAATTGGGGTTTATCTCCTTCAGGCGGGTCTGAAGGCCCTTAAAGCAGCCTGACATGTTAGCGGCACCGTCAAAAGAGCACGCAACACAGTTACGAAGGTCGATGCCTAAACTTGCAAATTCCCTTTTTATTAGTTTGAACAGACCTTCCCCGGTATTGTCATGGCTGACAGTTAACTTTATAAGGCGCTCGCTTGGCATGCCCGTGAGAGGGGAAACATATCTGACAACAATGGCAAGCTGGTCAAGAACACCGACATCTTGCGTACTGTCAACCTGTAAACTAAAAATCTTAGCTAGCTTAACCTCCTCTATTATTTTTTCCTGTATATTGGAGCCTATTATTTTGATTAATTTGTTTACAGTTGATTTGGATAAGAAAGATACAAATGAGCCACGTCCTTTCGATCCTGGGTTTGAATCACGGAGCTTCTTGCTCGTCTCAATGGAAATTCTCACATGTTCTTGAAGCACTGGGTCATACTCAGCTAGCAACAAAACAAGCTCCAGGAAATTACCATGGTTTACGCTTCGGTCTTCAAGAGAGTGGGCAGCCTCTTGTCCGCCTCGGTAGGCAATAGGGTGTTCCAGGCTATCAAGAACGGAAGTGAAAAAGAACAAACTCACCGATTAATCTGTTTCCGTTTGCTAAGTATGAGAAATTGCCATGGTAGTTTGGCCCGATTCTAACCTCTCAAATATGGAGGCGAGCTCGAAACTGACCTGACGGTTTTTCATACCTGAAACGCCGTCGTGACACGTGATCAGCTCAACCAATCAGAGCCATCACGGAAACAGAAAAGTCAGTGAGTTTGTTCTTTTCCTACTTCCGTTTTGGATAGCCTGGAATACCCTATTCCTTGTCTCCCAATAAAGATGCATATGTCTATAATTCGTTCTACAACAGAGCGTCTGGCATTTCTTTGTTTAATTTTAACATTCTGTAGGTCTTTGTCAATTAAACTTTCTACATTTTTATTGGCTAGAGCCTGAACATGGGCGTCAACTGCGACAGAGTGAGTTTTGCTAGTTTCATGGCCTAAAATTCGATCATAAATATGTTTTAATCGACCGGTAACGCAAAGGCCGGTAACGAAAGGGCTCTCATTTGTACTGCCCGAAAATGCCATGCAGACTGAGCAATACACAGAACTGTTTTCAGTGCAGTATGAGAGCCAACTTCGACAAACTGTAGTGCCCCCTACTGATTTATAATAAGCCTTCTGTGGATTGAACGGAACACTGGTTGTAGCGGTGGGCACAGGTTGTATCGGATGATTCTGCATGAAGGCAAGCTTAACTGAAATAGGCGCGTCGATACGGGGAGCAATGAAACTGATCAGATTCCGGTTGGCCGCTAACCCAGTGTCCGTGTCCGTCTCTATCTCAACACTACCCTCACCCTCAACATCCGGATCACCATCTTCTGAAGCTGATGTTAAAGTCTTCTCTGCTGCGGACGTTGCCATTGAAGACGCTGCTGCTGCTGTATCCGTTTCCGAAGTCGCTGCTGCTGCCGGGGTCCGTGCCGGTGTTGGTGTCGCATCTGAAGTAAGCGACGTTGGCGGGGGCGAAGACACCACATCCGTGCTGGCAGCACCAGAATCTGCATGGGGGAAAAAGTAAACAGACATATATTGACTGTTAAGCGTTAAGTGAAGCCTATTACGCGTTACGCGCGGTTGGTAGGGAAACGGAGTCAAGAAAGACGAAGAAACAAAAACAAAAAGCACATTATCGGCACGCCCGTGATCCATGCTACTACCGAATCAATGAGAATGGGTAGTACATACCTTCTGTTTGCGTTCGGCTACTACTTGGAGTGATGAAGTTTAGCTTCCCCTGCTTCGGGTCGCTGGCCACTGCAGATAGCTTTCTTTTCTTCTCGTCTTGCCTCTTGCTGTGTCCCGACTGAAACCGCTTTTTAGTGGGGCCCGAACTCATTGTGAACAGTACAGTGTTGAGCAGCAATCGTAAAAAATAAAAGCGCAAACGTTTGTCGTCAGATTTCACTAAGCGCTTCGGCGCCTCACGCCTCACGAGTCGAGTCGAGTCGACCGGCGTAGGCGAGCGCGCGCTCAGGCTCGGGCGAGGGGTGAGGAGAAGGGAGGGGGCGAGCGCTGCCGGTGCCGCGCGCAGTAGGCCGGGCGGGCAGGCTTGTTTGAGCCTGCACTGCAGCGGGTGCGGGGCGGCGCGGAGCGGGCGGCTGGCTGGGACTAGGGACTGGGAGCTGGCTGTGGCAGTTGACAGTATCGTATCGCGCAGAGTGCCCAAGGCATGCATGGGCATAGTTCAATAAAGCATTCCGGTAAAGCTGTGATGCAGAAGAATGCGAGGAACAAGAAAACGGAAGTCACCATGTTAAAGCATTGCGATTTCCGTTTTCTTCTTCCTCGCATTCTTCTGCATCACAGCTTTACCGGAATCCTTCATTAAATATTATTTGTGTGTTCAAACCCAACTTTGAAATTTTACCGGTGCCAGGCCAGGGTCCGAGGCACGGGGCCTCGCTTCGCGAGGCCTTCGGTGCCTCACTCGGCGGAGCCTGAGCCAGAGGCCTCGCTTCGCGAGGCCAAGAGGGCCTCGCTTCGCGAGGCCGAGGGCCTCGCTAGGCCGAGGGCCTACCGGGGGATTGCCCGGCAGCCCTCTGGGCCAGTCCGAGCCTGTTCGGACTACGAATTCCATTCAAATTTTGTTGATCTTAGAAAAACAGGGAGTATGTAGTGAGCTCGAGTGAGTTACAAATTTGTCGCCATACGACACTAATTTTGCTACTTGTTCGGGTGAGAGGGAAGAACGGGTCACTTCATGGCGATAAGCGGAACCCGACAGCCGCACCCGCCCGCACGGCACTCGAGTAGTCGTAAAAGCCCTCCCCCCCTCCCCCCGCGCCGAGCCGCGCACTGCCTCGCCCGCCTGGCCGGTGGATGCTGATGACTAAGCGCGAGGGGATACGCGAAAATCTGGCCGGGAAACATCCTGACGAGACCTAAAGGCTTTCGCGTTCGCGCTTAAGCGCACGCGAAGCCTAAAAATCAGCGAACTTTAGCTACGGGTTCCGGTCCTGACTTCTTCATTTCTTCTCAATAAGCGCACTGTCGGAACGGTCTATAAAGCATTCCGGTAAAGCTAAAATGCAGAAGAATGCGAGAAACAAGAAAACGAAAGTCACCATGTTAACGCATAGCGATTTCCGTTTTCTTCTTCCCCGCGTTCTTCTGCATTTCAGCATTACCGGAATGCTTTATTCTTTCTCGAGTTATCGTGCGGACAGTCAGACAAACACACAGACACACAGAATGAAAATTTTCTGCCCAGCCAATAGATGGTGCCGGCAGTGCCCGTTTAAAGAAGAATTATTGAAATCACCACCGGAAACAGTTCTAAAATAATGGCTTAAATCAGTGAAAACTAAAATTGACAGTTACTAGAGATTTAATCGAGGCCATTCACGTCGAACTGCACTGTCAAATGACAAAAATAAGCGCGCTTTTGGTACTGGTTTCGGTGCCGACTTCTTCATTTCTTCTCAAAAAGCGCACTGTCGGAACGGTCTAT